TAGAAATTATCTTTTAAAATAATCATCTTTAGATATAGGATTTATATATGTACTATTATAAGATAAATTTTGATAGTGTTTATGATAAGAAATAAAAAATATTCCTTGATTATAATTAAATTAAAATTTGTGACATTTAGATGAACAAATTCCAATACATAAATTTAATTTTGTATAATTACAATTTTTAGATTAATTTCACAACAATTATTGACTTTCTGGTAAATATTTTAATTTATTTATAAGACTATAAAGATTTAATTTTATATAAATTTTATTTTTTCTAACATATTCTATTTATCCACTTTTATTAGATGGAAGAGATATCGGTGTGAACTAAGTTGGTGATCCTATCGATATATTTTTTTTTAAATACAAATTTTTTTTTACATCGAAATAATTACATCTAATAACTTTATTTTTAATGTAAAAAATATTATGAGTATAATCTAAATTACAAAAAATTATGTTTATGAGATTTTATGTATAAAAAAAACCGTAGGATATTAGGATTTAAATTATTAAAAAAATAAAAAATTATCTTATGAAATTAATGGTTTTATCTAAATACCCGATTTATAAGATGTTTTTTCATTAAAAAAAAATTTAAAACTTTTAACCCAATAAAAAAACTTTTACCTTTTGTACAAATTTTATGTCTACAAATTTTAAAAGACAGATAATTTGTTTGAGATCAAGAGATCACAAGAAATATACATAATGATATATAGATTTGAGAGTTTTAATTTCAAGTGTAAAAAGTAACGAATAATGATTTAGGATTTAAATTATCTTAAAAATAAAAAATTATTATCTTTTCACATTAAAGATTTTATCCTAATATGTAATCAATGAAATATCATATTTACAATTTTATTTTTTTTGAAAGATATCATATTATTGTCATATAACTAAGAACAACGAAAAAAATACAAAACAACAATAAATGAAGTCGCGATATAAATTACATTAAAAAAATTATACTTTTGTAATTGACAATATCATTTTAATTAAATTATTATTTGTTTTTATTTTTTTTGTCTGAAATTATTAAATTGAAAAAATAAGTCATATATATATATATATATGATTAAAAAAAAAACTTAGAGTATATAAGAAATATCTTTTCTTGAGATATATGTATGAAAATCTGTGCATCGCACAGACTTTCATCTAATTATTTTACATATTATTTAAATATATTCTATTTAAATAAAAAATATTATGAGTATCAATATTTTCTTTCTCATATTTACAATTTATTTATATTTACAATTTATTTATATTTAATAAATTCATATTTACAATTTAATAATATTTATATTTAAATATTATGAATTCAGTAAAAACAAAATTAGATAAAAAATATCATATTTACAATTTATTTATATTTAATAAATTCATTATAAATTATAGTAAAAAAAAAATATTAAACTTTTGTAATTTTGTCTGAAATTATTAAATACAATAAATCAAATAATTAAAAATCTTAGATGAAAAAACCGTGCGTTGCACGGGCTTTCATCTAGTAATTAACAAATTACGTAAAATTATTTATTAATTAACAAATAACGTAAATATTTATAATTATAAAAACAAATGATTTATTCAACAAAATTATTATCATTTTGCCCCGGGCCACTAGAATATTAGAAACGGCTATGCACCTAACTCTTCGAAAAAAACTGTAAAATGGATAGAGGCAAATAACCGTCATCTCCCACTTCCTTCCCCTACAAAACCCACTCTTCCCCCCCCCCCCCCACTTCCAACCTTTTTCAACTCTTCTCTTCATACACCCCCTCTCTTTCTTCTTTTTTTTTTTTTACCATCAAACTTCCTTTTTTTTTTTTTTTTTTTTTTTTTTTTTTCTGTTTTTTACCGACAACTTTTCACTCCCTATTTTCCTTCCATGGATAACACTCCTCTTCATTATCACCTGTAAGTTTGTATTGTCTAACAACTAATATGTAGTGTAATAATTTTCATTATCATTTCTTTAAATTAGTATTATCTAATGCAATGGTCCTTCGTTTTCATGTCCTGCTTTGCTTCCATTTTTGTCTCATTCACTTGTTTGCTTTCCCGTTTTTTGCTTCTTGGCTTAAATCTGTGTTTCAATGGAAGGAAAATCATTTTTCCAAAAACGGCTTTCTTATTTTCCGATTGGTTTGTAATAGAAGAAAATAAAAAATAATGTCTTATATCCTCCTATTCCCTCACCTTTGTCTCCTCTCTCACCATTTCTCTTGAACTCTTCTAGACCTACCAAAATTTAAAATAATAATGGCTCCTTTGAAATTAGATTTACGTCAAAATAATTGCTACAGTAATAGTTTAGAATATGATCAAACAAGTTCATCAACTTTACAAGTCAATTAACAAATGAAATCATGAAGAAGTCTTATTTTTTTTAAAGAAAAAGTTTGTAGTTCAAAAAACTTGTAAATATTTTTATAAAAGAATGGAAAAAAAATTAAATATGTTACTTACTTTTTTTTTTAACTAGTTGTGGTCCCGCGATGTGATTATTATTAGTAAGTAATGTATCCGGTGGTTCTGTTATACGGTAATTATGTTTGCGTAGTGTGTGCATGTCGTAAGAATTTAAAGTAATAAAGGCAATCTAAGAGGGAAATGTTGCATTCTAATTTATTATATGAGAAAGATGTAACTTATATTATGTTATTAGAAAGAAGTAATTTGAATTATCATGTTAAAAAGAAGTAATGTTCTTAGAATCGGATCAAAAGATGTTGTTACAATAAGAAGTATAAATAGTTCTAATTTTAATATCATATTGGCTACAAAATTAATGATATAATGTAATAATAATCATTCAAATAAGAGTTTTAAAATTATTTGTTGGTTTGTGGGGGTAAATGCAAAAGTTTGTTATAGTTAATGGCGAAAGGGCTAAGGACGTATAAGATAAGGTGGTTATTTGTGTTTTTAAATAATTGCTATTATTTTCATAAGTGTTCTTCTATTCTTAAGCATTATAGTAAACCTCTCCCAAAGCTAATTGTCTGGTCGATTTTTCTTAAGTGGTCTTTCTTTCTCCAAAGCTAATTACCCTAATTTTTTAAGTGATCTTTCTTAAGTAGTCTCTCTCTCCCCATAAACTAATTGAATTGATTTTCTTAAGCGATCTTTCTTAATTAAGTAGTCTATCTCTCTCTTTCCTAAGTGATATTTCTCTCTTTTTGAATGATCGATCTTTCTTAAGTGGCCTCTCCCTCTCTCTCCCACTCTCTCTATAGCTTTTAGTAACTCTTTCTCCTAAGCTAATTTCTCTTATTTTCTTAAGTGGTCCATCTCAAACGATCTATGTTTCTTAAGTAGTCTCTCTCTACTTCTATAGATTTAGTGCAATAAATTTTGGATCAGAAACATACATATAATGATGATTGTTTGGAAGTTAAATTTGGAGCAATGAAAATTAGAATACAATGGCAATGAAAATTAGAATACAATGGCAAGTTAGTTCGAGAAATGGATAAAATTATATCAAAATATTAGTAAACTTAAATAAAATACACATTTTTGAAGTTAGTAAACTTAAATAAAATACATATTTTAGAAGCAATGAAAATTAGAATACAATGGCAAGACCGTTAAAAATATAACTCAGAGCCACAAGGCAATTTACTAAACAGAGATTCATATAAAATAGCAACACGTGTACAATATGGTATAAATTAAATAGTTTCAACATCAAAAACGGCAAAAAAAAGGTAAATAAAAAAGGCAATTTGATTAATAATATGTAATTGCATCAAAATGAAGGATATTCAAGCTATCAAAAGGCTCCATTCTCAACCAATAAGCAACATAAAGACAAAAGATGTTTGTTATAAGAAAAGGTGCTTGATACAGTGCAAGAAACAAATGATATTGAACGACTGTCGAAACACTTTAAAGATAAAAATAAATTGTGCTTGATATAGTGCAAGAAACATATGATACTGAACGGCTGAAAACTTTAAAGATGGAAATAAATTATGACAAGGCTAATTAATATTACTTATTTAACGATGTAGCGTGCGGTACCCCAACGGTGGTGATTATTATTAGTAAGTAATGTATCCGGTGGTTCTGTTACACGGTAATTATGTTTGCGTAGTGTGTGCATGTCGTAAGAATTTAAATTATTAAAGGCAATCTAAGAGGGAAATGTTGCATGCTAAGTTATTATATGAGAAAGATGTAATTTAAATTATGTTATTAGAAAGAAGTAATGTTCTTAGAATCGGATCAAAGATGTTACAATAAGAAGTATAAATAGTTCTAATTTTAATATCATATTGACTATAAAATTAATGATATAATGTAATAATAATCATTCAAATAAGAGTTTTAAAATTATTTGTTAGGAAGGATTCAATTTAATTTTATCATGCTACAATAACTTTTAACATTAACTTTATATTCAATTTATACTACAGACACATCTCAGCTAAGACACCCTAAATTGAATTTAGAATTAAAAGAGCATATAACTTAGATTAAATTAATACTTAAACTGAATTAAATTGAATTTAGAATTAAAAGAGCATATAACTTAGATTAAATTAATACTTAAACTGAATTAAATTGAATTTAGAATTAAAAGAGCATGCTACAGAAGTATAACTTTTAATATCATATTGGCTATAAAATTAATGATATAATGTATGTACTACAGAATATGAGATAACTTCTGTATATACTACAGACACATCTCAGCTAAGACACCCTAAATTCAATTTAATTCAATTTAAGTATTATATACTAAATTGAATACAAAATTAAGTTATATTCAATTTTAGTTTTATATCATATTGGCTATAAAATTAATGATATAATATATATACTACTGAATATGAGATAACTTCTATATATACTACAGACACATCTCAGCTAAGACACCCTTACGAATCCTTCCTAACAGCAATTTAGTTACCAATATATATATATATATATATATATTTCTCCCTTTCGATTAACAGTTTTCTACATAAATCTGAAATGGCGATAACTTCTTCAATATATCAAGAAAGATGAATGTACTAACAACACAGTTCAACATAAACGGTCTAGCAGACAGGAGGAACAAGCCTAGAGAAGCTGTTTGAATCACTCATCTGAAAAGATTCATAGCTCTGTGTACTGATCTCACTGCAAAAAAAATATGAATAACAGCTTGAAGGTTTTTTTTTCCTAGGTGTGAATAAATTCACCTGATTTGAATAAATAAAACTTATTCTGGCAATAAAGGGAAAGATATAACACGCAAAGGGGCCACTCTGATGGAGCTTCAGTGAATTATGAGAGGTGTTGCTCCTGAATCATCTGTAACCAGGGGAAGTGAGATTCTTCAAGAATGAACCGACAACACTTCCTCTAACGCCCTCCTCTTTCACCAACAATAAGAAGATATTGCAAACAGGAGGATGATTTCACAAAATCTTTTCTTTTTTATCCCCATCTAATAATGGAAGAACCCCATGTAAGACCAGCACCAAATTCAGATGTTGCAATGATATATCTTGGCTGGACTTTTCCACTCCAAACAGCTTCATCCAATGCCAAGGGGATTGATGGTTGATGCGGCACTGGTGTTACCATAATTTGCTAATTAGCAAGACACGTTCTGTAGGAACTTCCAAATGTGTTGCAACAGAATCAACAATCCTCTGGTTTGCTAGCACTCACATTTGTAGATCATTAATGTACAGTTATATAAAGCACCAAGATTTATTTGAAAATTAGGAACTGAAAAAGAGAGCAGATTATTCGTCCTAACTCCATACTTTAAAATGCTCTACTTCATAGCTTATTTTAGAAACCAACAGATGTAACAAGATGTTGACTAAGCACGATACCTGATGCAATAATAACCAATCATTATTGGAACTATCTAGAACAGCCTTTTGAAGTGCAGCCTCAATTGATTGGGGCACACATCTAACAGCAAAGCGAATTTCCCTTGATTTCTTTGCCATTATTATTTTGATGAACTCCCTGTGCTTTAATTTCTGGGCTCTCCTCATCATGTATTATTGCTTCATGAGTCTTCAGTTCTTTCTTAGTTAATTTCTATGTTTCTCACTAAATTACCACATATAGAGAGAGAGAGAGAATTGAGAGAGATTGAGGAAAACAACGACAATAATTGTAAACCAAGCATGTGGGCTAACAGAAATTTATGGCCGATATATTCATAATAGAGCAAATCTTCTCAAATTTCAGAATAAAATATCAGTAAATCAAGGCAGGAATTCAGCAAAAAATTGTAGCAACAGCTTAACACAGTTGAAGCAAGAATGTTAGTTAACTCAAACAAATATGATACAAGCTCTCCACACGAAACCAAATATCATACAAGCTCTTCCATTCAGGACCAATGATGAGAACTCTATAGCCACTGGCAGACATTGTAACCTATATAGATTTCCCAGGTATTACATCTCAATAATCTCTATAGCTAACATCTAAAAAGTTATTGTATCAAACTCCATCTCAATTAAGGCTTGTTTATGTTAGCGTATGAGCATCATTAATTTTTTTCACCAGCAACTATATAATTAAAGGGCCGATAATAATTCAAATCAAAAGCATTTAAATCAAATTTTACTTCTAAAAATGCTTATGAATAGTGTTGTATTATTAGGAGTACGAATTGTAATTATACTTGCCTCAAAAATTATTCTTAAAATTGAACCCATCTTATTGGTGAGCAATTATAATCATCAATTAGAATCACGTAAATTATCAATTAAGACCATTTGCTTCCAAGATTCATACAAACAACAAACCCAGATGCATATTCCACAAAAATTGATCATCAAACATTCAAATTACACCAAAAATTCAAAATTTGAAAGGGCACAGAAAAAAGAAATTGTACGAACCACAAGGGTGCTTGAATTTGAATTAACTTCTAGCCATCTTAGTACTCAAAAAGGTGCAATTGGTATCTGCAAATACCAAACAAAAAAAGAATAACAATTATCAAGGAAGCCGTTTTGAAGCTTAGAGGTAATAAACATTAAGTACGTTAATGTATGGTATTTCTACTTTGTACCATATAAGGTCGACAATGTTTATTGAAAGATCTAATAAGAAGTTTTTCATATAAAAATGACCTATCATCTATAAAAAAAATTTGCTCGTTATAATATTTCATTACTTCAATGATTATAAGATTTATAATAAATAGTTTCATAATCTAACTTAGAATAACCCTAAATCAATAGTTTCATAATCTAACTTAGAATAACCCTAAATCGATAGTTTCATAATGTTCCTTAGAATAACCCTAAATTGAGTACGATTAAGTTTCTATAAACCTTAGATTGTGAAATTGATACGGGGTGATTAATAAGAAGAAAGAAAATCTTACCTCATGAAGGAGTAGAATCCCATAAGTCGCTTCAGTGCGAAGGGCAAATAATGTTGAGAATTTCTCCTTTCTATATTTCCCTACAAAATTTCAAACCCAGATTTCAATTACATAAATTAAAAACCAGAAATATATAAATTCAGAGTAAATCCAGTAAAAACAAACAAAAAAATGAAAGAGGAAAGGGGAAATGGTACCTCAACAGTTAAATAGACAATAATATGAAATTGAACTCCCAAATGTGAAATTCATATTGGACAATTTAAAGGAAGAAAAAAACCCCTTACCTCAACAGCGGGCTTCAACAGAGGAGTAAGAGCAAAACATGGAGAGCTCAGGAGAAGAGGAGGAGGGAGATGAAGTTGTGGCTGTAGTTGGTTTGCTTCTCAATCTATCAACACTGAAATTAGAGGAGATGAATTTGTGGTTGTGGTGAGAGGGCGGAAATTTGGACTTCTTTTAGGGCAAAACAGACCAAACACTGTAGATAAGCAAAGTGCAGGCTATTTTCGAGGGCAAAAATATACCTGATTTTCCTTGAGGAAAAGGGTGATCTTAGTACCCCTTCCAAGTTGTTCACCAGTAGTGTCCCTTGTGGCAGTGAAGGAACCACCAGCTTGAGACTCCCAAACGAACTGCTCGTCATCATTGTGCTTGGTGGATACAATGACCTTTTCAGCAAACAATTAAGCTGAGTAGAAAATAAAATCAAAATTCAGACAAAGAATCACACAATAACCTCATCAAAACAACAAAAAATACAATCACACAATAACCTCATTATGTCGATAGCAGTCTGTTATACCATAACTCCATTAGCAAAACAAAAAAAAAAAAAAAAAAAAAAACAAAAAAACAAAAAAAAACGAAAAACAGATAAATAATCACATCAAAAACCAAACATTACAATGAAATCGCAAATTCAACCCAAAAAAACCGAAAAGATTACAAACAAAAATGTTAATTCAAAAAGGATCGTGGTTCTGATGTTGGTCTTTCTGTGTTATTCTAATTTTCTTTTTCTTAAACATTTTCCAGTTGTGGTTATATCAGAACATTTTCATAACTTTATAGTTTTAGTAATCAATGCTTTGTATATATTGTTTGTATATATTCTAGCCTAAAGAGGGGAGTATCAAAAAGATTTCTTTTCAAAAGACATTGAAAAGAGAATGGGAGGAAATGAGTAAAGACATAATCAAAACAGCAGCATAAATATGCCAGTAGAAGTATAAATTATAAAATCAAATGTAATCAACAGCTTTACTATTCCATTACTCAAGTATAAACAAATTTTACTTAATAAATACTACTCGTACCGTGTCTAGACATACAAATTGTAGACTGGTTATAAAGTACAGGAAAAAATATTACTGTCCAGCCAAGCTATAGTCTATAATCTATGCCCATTAAATGGTGAATGAAACTAAACAAATAGAATGTAAATATTCTACAAAAATATAAATGTGAATCCTGTCCTTTTTTCCATTTCTTTATTATAATATTTTTTTTGTTTTATGTAATGACAAGTACCCAAAAATAACCCTGAAGAAACAATCATAATCAATAAAATTCAAAGAAACAGAATCGGAATCAGTAAAATTCAAAACACAAATAGTAAACCTAAATAATTAAACAAATATATACACTAAATCACCTCATGGAAGCTTTATTAGCGAACAAAAAGAAGAATACCAAAATAAAAGAAGAAGCAAGCAAGTACGAAAAGAAAATCCCAAAACTAAAATTCAAAATAGACGAACAAAAAGGAAAATAAAAGCTAAATCACCTCATATAAGCTTCAATGGCGAACAAAGAAAAGAAAACCAAATTACCTTCAACATCTATTGCATGCTCTTATATATGTAATATTAATCAAATCAACTACAACTCCTCCGAAAACTAATAGACTAATATACATAACCCAATTGCATGTTAAAGAAGAAGCAAGTACGAAGAGAGAGAAAAGAAGAAGGATAGACTGTGTAATAGCATCTGATTTTAGGGAAAAAGAAAAAGGGAAGAAGGACAAAAAAGCTGAAAAGCAATGAAAATTAGAATACAATGGCAAGACCGTTAAAAATATAACTCAGAGCCACAAGGCAGTTTACTAAACAGAGATTCATATAAAATAGCTACACGTGTACAACATGTTATAAATTAAATAGTTTCAACATCAAAAACGGCAAAAAAAAGGTAAAAAAAAAAAAAAAGGCAATTTGATTAATAATCTGTAATTGCAGCAAAATGAAGGATATTCAAGCTATCAAAAGGCTCCATTCTCAACCAATAAGCAACATAAATGCTAAAAAAAACTATCATCAAGATTGACATCCTTTCCCTCTCCATAATCTTCTCTATACATAGAATTTCTTCCCTAATTATATCTAATTAATTTCCAAATCCCAAGCTACTCATAACTAACATATAAAGATACTGCCAAAAGAGCCCCTCCCCTAGTTCCCCTTAAATCAGTTTACTGCATAACATCAATGAGTAAAGAACTGATTATTTACCTCTCCCTTTTTCCTTAGATTCGGTAGAATCAGCTCCAGAAGTGGAATTCCCTGAACTTCTCCCACATGCAAAATTCTGGAAATTATAATAGGTGTAAAAACTGAATTATCACATATTAAGACAGAGATTAATTTTTCACACATAATTTAAATTAATATGCAAAATTCTGGAAATTATAGTAGGTGTAAAATTTCTGTTTTACTTCATCTAACGAAATAATCTAATTGAATTTTATTAGTCATAAACCTCAGTTGCAACAATCTTATATTTCCTCATTTCGGCACAAATCTCAAGCATGCAAAACTGCAAACAGCAGCCAAAAAATCTAATTATCGCCATTGTTAAACCTCATCCTCCCCTGTCAGACCTCCAACATCAATTGCATGTTCTTATATGATATTACACTTTTTAATCTAAATTACCTCAACCAAATGTAAAAAGAAAACCTAAAATTGATTTGATTTGATTTAATTTGAACTTGAATAGAGTTAATCAATTATGAATTCAGAATTAGTACCTTCACAACAGATACACCCAACTCACTGACACCTTCAAACCCGAGTGAATTTCTCCAGGAATACCGCAAAATAACCCTGAAGAAACAATCGGAATCAGTTAAATTCAAAGAGTAATCAGGGGTAACTGTACATATTAATGATAGTGGATTAGGAGATGCATGTATTCATATGAGTGAAACCAGTAACATATAAACCCAAATCAGTAAAATTCAAAGAAAAAGGATTGAAACCAGTAAAATTCAAAACTCAAATAATAAACCCAAATAATAATTAAACAAATATATATATATATATACACTAAATCGCCTCATCTAAACTTCAATGACGAACAAAAAGAAGAATACCAAAATTAAAAGAAAAGGCAAGCAATTACGAAAAAAAAAACCCAAAATTAAAATTCAAAATAAATGAAGAGAAAGAAAAAACACACTAAATCACCTAATATAAGCTTCAATGGCGAACAAAGAGAAGAAAACCAAATTGAAAGCTTCAATGGTGAACAAAGAGAAGAAAACCAAATTGAAAGAAGAAGCTTAATTTAACCAAATATTCTCTGTACTATTATTACGAAAAAACTGAATGCAACTTAACATAATTAATCTTAACAGTACTTAATTTAAGAGTATTTTATACTAAGAGTTGGGATACAATCGCCGCTATAAATCTATAAGTCCTTGCTAAAATGGTAGCAAACAAAACTGAAACAGCATATGAAGAAATCTTATAAAAAAAGTACAATCTTGCAACAAACCTTCTTCTTTTTAATCCCAGCATTTTCAGTATGCCCATCGATAAGAAAGTAACGACTCTTACAACAGGATATAGCAACAAAGAAAGCCAGTAATAATAAATAAATAAATCTAATCTAATAATAATAATAACACATAAATCCATCAAGCACACAATCAACTAAATGTGAAGATCAATTTTGATATACTGAGAAGAAAGACCTCTAATCACCTCCCCATCATGTTATTAGGTAGAACTTCTGTAGCACTTGGAGGTGGGCTTTGTGGTTGTGGTGTGCCAACATTGGCCACAGCATAGTCTTCGTGGATGGTCCCTAATTCATTCCATTCAACTCCAGCTATCACTGAGTTAGGGAATCAAAGTTCATGTTTCTTTCTTCAGAAACTTGACAAAATTATTTTTTATACAACAAAATGAAACGTAAGTAAAAAAAAGTGAAAGGATAGTCTGTTCTCCACATATCAGTAATGCTGACATCACCATCCGACAGTAACCAGTAATCTGCATCACTCTGTAAAGGAAGCAGAAGACATAAATGTATTAGATACTTACTATTCAAGCACATGGAAGGACAAAATTAACAACTGCGAACACTTTATACTTCTATTCCGCTTGCAAGGAAGGTCTAACAAGAAAATTTATGAAAAAAAAAAAAAAAAAAAAACCATGCTAGAGCGCAAATTAGATGGTGCACATCGAAACCTATAACATGACTGTTGATAGCAATCAACTTCAGCCCAAGAAAAAAGAAGACAACAAACAAACAATCATGACTGATGTACTTTACACATTCAATCATTTGATAAAAGCTCGATTTTCGGACAAAGTACATTAAACATCAAATCAAGCACTCATGCTCACAGAAATGCTAGAAAAACTAACTCTGCACCCAAAAGAGCAGCAGCAATTCCTAATGTGCCACACCCACAACCAAAATCAGCCACCACCTTATCACTAACATCTCCAAATGAATTCTCTGCCTACCCAATTCAAGAAACAAAAATACCTATCAATTATCGGTCCAGTAAATCGATCAAACTTCGAAAAGATTACAACTTTTAAATGATATCAACAACAAAATGATGTTATACTAATAAAGAAAGTAATGGGATTATTACATACACTGTATAACATCAGAGAAGCAATACGAGGGCCAGTTGGGTATTGTTCAAGTTCAATCTGCAGCAGCAAAGGAGTAATATCCAACACACTTATCTGAACAGTCATTCGTGATATAGCGTAATATACTAACAGTCATTCGTGATATAGCGTAATTATATCACGAATGACTGTTAGTATATTTAGTTTTCATAGTAAACTCATTGTTGGGATGGTTTTATATTTTAATCATTGTCTTAATTTTAGTATTGACTTGTGTTCGTGAACTAATTAACCATAGTTAATCAAGCTAATCAACCATACTTAAGGACTAAACAGTTGAATTACATGGAACCCCTTATGTAACAAATAGATGACATACATGCTCATGATGAACCCATGCTGATGTTGATTTCATTATCCCCAATTATACAAAATTGATGAAGTCTTCCTTGGATAATGCACTAATTAATTCTTAATTATATCCTAGTTTCATCTTTTTTTAACCTAAGATTCCTTGCTGGCATTGCATAACGTTCCATGCACAGACCACATAATAATAACTAATAATAAAATTAAGGGATATTCTCAATGGTAACCCCCTATTATTGCTACGCACCAATGGTAACCCTCTTTTTTTTGGATTATACAAAATTACACTACTTTTCTTTTTTCTCCTAAAAATGACTTTAATGATGGTGTTTTAACATAAAATAGTCAATTAAAATTAACTATGGTTAGTTTTTTATATTTATAAAAAAAAAATGACACTTGTTGCAAGATCATTGGTTAAAAATTAAAACAAAAAACAAAAACAGAATTTCAAAAAATTTTCACCCAGCCCCACCCCTTTATGGTTGCCAAACCATCCGGCCACCTTTACGGCGGCCATCCGTTCCCCCACTCCAGGTGCTGCGCCAAATTCCCCCTCCCCTCGCGCTGGTACTGTAACCCACCCCAATCGCCGCCCTCCTTCCCTAACCCAACCCTTCCTTTTCCGGTTCTTCTCCGCCGTTAAAAGCCCCAACCTCCGCTCCCGGAACTCCCTTGAAACCCCTTTCCCTACTCCCGAAAACACCCAATCGGCCCTCCCCCACCACCAAAAACCCTAGCCGTTTGTGGGTTTTCGGAGTTGCGGGAGAGGTTTTCTTGGGGGTTGCGTGCGACGAACCGAAATTGGGATTTCTCTATTGAATTGCTGCCATGGTTCTTCAATTAGATGCAAAATTGGTGCAATTGGGGCTGCTGCGGTGGTGCGAAGGTGGAGTGGTGGTTAACTGGTGGTATGTTGCGACGGTTCGGTGGTATTGTTGGCGGCTAGTTAGGTGGTTGGTGTGTGCGAGGTTGAGATGGCTGGATTGGTGATGTGTGGGCTGCTGGAGGTTGGGCGGCTGTAGGGGCTGGAGGTGGCAGGGGTTGGGGCTGGGTGGGGGATTGGGTGGGTTCACCAGCTAGGGTGGGGGCATTTTTGTCATTTCGCTATTTTGGTTAACCATGGTTTAATTTTATATTAAAACACCATCATTAATGTCATCATTAGGAGAAAAAAGATAACTAAGGTCATTTCGCATAATCCAAAAAAAGTAGGGTCACCATTAGGGTGTAGCAATTATAGAGGGTTACCAATGAGAATTTCCCTAAAATTAATAATTTAATATTACTTACCCATACAAAAATTAAATAAAAGCACTACAAACTTATTAACCCATGAAAATTTTCACTCTTAAAAACCAATTTTAATTACAATACCGTTTCTTACTTTACTAAGGTCTCTCTCCTTTAAGAGTCCTTCCAATTCTCATGGAATGCTTGATTAAACATATAATTGTTGTCGGGTTGTTAAAGGCCTAAGGGAGACTGATATTACTTAATAAAAATTGACCTTGTATCTCTCTTCTTTCTTAAGAAACTAATAAGATGACCTTTTAACTATTAAAGTCGCTGAACTTATCTTCATATTAACTGTGGTATACTGGTGATCCATTATTTGTACTATAGGACACCAAATTAAATTAGCTCATAGATTAGCAGAATGTGGCAACTGGCAACCCTGAAACAGGCATTTCTACACAACATCTTATGGAATTAAAGACAACAAAAATTAAGCACACAGAAGGGGATATTTTGTTGATAAGAACGAAAATCAACCAATAGTCAAATGCCATGATGATAAGTGCGTAATACAACGAAGTCAGAGGTGCAAGGAAATATCTCTAAACCACAATACCCAAAACTGAATGCCAGTATCTCATTGTAATAAGCTATCTCAGTACATGTAGGTTTCTTCCAAACTGTGTCTTAATACTGCAGTTGATAGAAATGCAAATGCCGGTAACAGCTACTTCATTGCTACAGTCATCAGACAGGGTATTCATGTTAATTTGACTATTGAGTAGAAGCAATAGAAGGAGAAATAATGCAAATTAAAGTCAGCTAATCCACTAATATGTCTATTACCCTCTTCTTGATTCCAACAGCTTATACACACCCCACTAAGCTAAACCCCAAAAAAAGAAACCACAGCACAAACTACATCATTTCAGATCACAATTTAGCAGAATTGTCAACTTACCAACTGTAATGTAGTAACCGAAATGCCCAAACAGCCAATTGAGTACCAACCAAAGTGACAGTTTATCCAATGCACTGTAAATTGCAAAAGAACAACAATAAGCCTTAACCATAGAATAACAATAACTTGTCACTGTAAAAGAGCTAAGTTGCTTCAGATAACAAAAACAATTGCAGACCAGACTCAAAAGATGGTGTGCAACAAAACAATCACGACCTACGCTTGTTAGCCGAAGTGTGCATTTGCAGTCTTCAATGAGAAAATGTGTCATATTGTAAACTAACAATCTATTGATGAGTAATAACAAACATCGCAACCTAAACTTACAAGCCACACTCATGAAAGCAATAGAGGTCTTGGCCTACGAGCTGCAATAACCATTTATAATCTACTACGTGGCCCATGCACCACCAGGTTCCACCCAAAGCAAAATAGCCTAGTTATTAATCTATACATATTTGATGATCGCATTTAATGGTAATCTATTTATATTTAGGTATGAATTTAGATTTAGAGTTTTAGATCTATTCCATCAGTTATTCATGATCTATTACATGGATTTTCTCCATTCAAAAAATAAAAACCGCATATTACGATACACCACTCTCTTATGATTATAAGTACCACAATAAACAAATGCAAATCAAATATCATACCTGAACAATAACAAAAACAATAAAAGTACAAGTAAAAGCTGCAAAACCCCAAAACAAAATGAATTTTCTTGGCAGGTATACTTAATTAAACTTGCCTAGCGTTTCTTAAACATGCAAGTAGTGAGAATAAAGTTGCAAGATTTAAGCATAACACGGTTTAATACAGACAGAACATCCACCAACTAAATAAAACATGTTAAGCCCAAAAATACACTTTACGAACCCAATCAAGCTCACTTAACGAATTCAAGCAGCAAACGAAACCAATAAATCTCACCTAACATCACATGCAAAAAATAATTAAACCAAGAGGACACCAAGATTCAAAAGCAAAACAGAATTACCTAAATTCACTCCATCAAAAAACACATAATTGATATAAAAATCAATCACAAAAATTAGGTCAAAATCAATCAAAAAAGAGGAGAGAGGAAGAGGAACCATACCATATTTGCGAAGACGATGGTCGACGGAACTCTTGTGCATAGCAGCCAAGACATTCTTCTTAGGATTAAGAAGAGTCTTCAACAATGAAGATGAACCAGTAGCAATCGCCATTTTTGTAGGTTTGCTAAGCTAGTAAGCTCAAACAAAAATTTCAGAATGAAAAATGAACAGAGACCTTAACACAATCAAAATCAGTAAAAACCAACATCAATAACATCGAAATTCAAAACTCAAATTATGAAGCTCAAACCAAAATTTCAAAAGATTCACACTTAATATTAGCTCAACCCAAAAAATTAAACAAATCTACACTAAATCACCTCATATAAGCTTTTTTATGCAGTCCTGAACTCTTGCTGAAGAGCAAGATGCTTTCATCTTTTACCTCAACTGTTCAGCAGTTGATACTATTCCGATAGCGGGCTTTTGAATCTTGACAAAGATTAAGACAATGATTAAAATATAAAACCATCCCTCTACATAAAAAACTATGCTCAAGAATTTGATCGCTCATAACTAATTATGACTGAGCAGCTGTTATCTGTGATTTCATCACAGTTAGCTCATATAAGAAATTTATTGAATTATTATATGGAGAAATGGTGTGATGCTCACACAGCTTGTTAAAGTTAAGACGAATAAGTAGGGAACCTGAGAGTAGAGTTGGCAAATCTATTTTTTCTAGCAAGTGAATACAGCTAACATAATAGCTCAACTTCAGATTGAAGGCAATGCCCAATTCACAGTAGCAGTTTACTTCAACCAAAAGTTACTAAGAAAATGCAGGCATATAGCTTGATACTGTTAGAAGAAGAGTCACACTGCCACCATAAAGAAGGCATACATTTCTAAGCTCGAGCAACAATTTTTAGAACAACAACCACGGGTATAAAGTATATAAACAACTGGTAAGCTAGTACCAAAGGTGATAGGACTTAAAATGGTCGATATTCACTGAGAAAATCTACTACACTGAACTGCCTTTGATTTCTAAGGTACTAACATGGACATTTTAACACTCAGTTTACCATAGAAACACTCAATATGCTGCCATTGGTTTTTGATATACAGCATCCTACATACTACATAGGCTTTCATCCGACGGAAGAGGTTATTTTTCAGGCGATCATCCACATTCCCCTGTTTAAGAATAGTAATCTAACTACTCAAGATGCAAACTACCGCTAATAATACACCTATTTTTTTATATTAATGACCTAGATGCATTTTATTGTAGCAATACTCAAACAATGCATCTGAAAGAAGTTAATTTCAACATGCTTGCTTGGAAGTTGAGACTTGAAGGACCTCCCTGCCATATATTTCAAAGGCAGAGACCAAAGAGAACATTCTCTTTTCCCTCCCTAGTACGAATATGAGACGATTCTATCTTAATGTAATTGTCCACCACCTATTACTTTCTCACACCTATAGTCCAAAGCAGCTAATAGTATCGTACCAACTTTAATTTCTTAACAAATAAGTTGGACACATGAGTGACAATCAAAAGGACTATCCTACAAGCACCAAGCAATGAAATCCAATAATCTAGTACAGAAGCCAATTAAGACAAGGGATATTGTAAGACTCTACAAGCAAAGAAGTATGAAAATATGGGGATCATCAGATATGAGTAAAAACTTACATTTAGAATAGAAGGTTCTGGCAATGGGCACTGGACGGGTTTATCATTGTCAAGAGGCTCAACTGGATGTTCAACAGGTTTAAATTCTACACCTACATCTATACCATGAGCAAGAGGCTGTGCAACCTCGGCCACCGTGTCCTCTGGAATCGGGGCTGAGACCTCCCTTGCATCCTGTGTCCATTCACATAAGAAAACGCGAAAATAAAATCACAATCAGCAATCAGCAGGCATCGAACTTACGACAATTAACTACAAGCAGCATGAACTTGAAGAGCAATACCAATAACAATGAAGCACACCAATCCTTGGCAAAAACACACCAAAAGCAGGTTCTAGACATGATTAAAGACAACCCAATAAAGATTTTGGACACAATTTCGGATACTATATGACTCAATGATCTTAAAGGACAATAAGATACATGACTAAACCTGGTTATATTTCTCCCGAAAACTCAAGACCACAGAAACCAAGCAAACTGACCAATTATGTCAACAATGAACCTTATAAAAACCCAGGTAAAAAAAGGATGAATATTGCCCAAAATCAAAAATTCTCAACTACCCAATTCACGCCTAGATCTAAGGAAGCCAATAAGAAAGTCAGATCAAAAAGGAAACATACAAAATCTGACCAAATCAACCACAATAAGAAAATCCCACAAAATCAACTTTAAATAGTCAAACAAAACAGTAAAAACAAAGAACAAAATCATCTAAACACAACAGTAAGATAGACAGTTCACCTATTCAAATCATATTAGGTTACTTACCACACAAAGTATTCATACAAAATTCACAATCAAATTAAACAAAAAAAGTTCCTAATTTTACAAAATCATGCAACCCCAGAAAACTAATTTAACTCACAATTGCGCTTTGCGTTCTTCGGTGCCCAGATTTGCTGCTAGAAAACTTAGAGAAAAAACCCACCATTTTTACAGTTTCTTGCTTCGAATTAAAGCTAATAACTCACATTAATAAGAACAAAGAATTCTTTGAAAAAATAATTAATGGTAGAGAAGAGAGAGAACGAAGGAAGAAGATGAAGTGAAAGGTAGGGGAGAGGTTACAAGAAGGACAGAATGAGTAAAGAAGAAGAGAGAGAAAAGAAGGACAGAAGAAAAGGAGAAAAAGGACAAAACCGAGGGTAATTCCAGAAGGACACTGTCCTACTGTTCATAAGGAACAGTACCGGTGGTCTTCTCATTTAAACACCATTAAACGAATGCACCAAGACCAGGGCCATGTTTATAGTTGAAACTACATAATTCTAGACTCAGCAAACAACCCTCCCTATAAAACACCAGCAGCCTTCCCTTTGATTAGTCAACTATGTAACATGCATCAGTATGACTTTATCCAGACACATTAGAGAATAAATAACAACGGTCAACAACATAGAACTTAAATTTATCTCATACTTCACAACAAAAGCAAGATTGATGGATTATAAGAATACTGATAAACTCTACATCTATTTTATACAATAAATCTTATACCTTGCAATAAATAAAATACTGTGAACAACTCCATGCAAGAAGAGCACAAAAGTTAAAGAACCTAACATCAACCATCTTAAAAAATTACATGCAAATAATACTTTCATGCATTTTCAGCACAATTTCATACACATAAATGACATAATAAACCAACAAAAAAAAAAAAAAAAAAAAAAAAAATCAAAACTCCATAACATCTTCAAGGTTTATTTGGTGGGTGGGTTATAGGGAGACTCAGATCTGCATTTCATCGAACAATTTGGCGGCACATTCTTGAAGTGGGAAAACCTCAACCATGGAGACAACTCAACCGAATCCCACAAACCAAACGCCCCCTAATACTGCAATAATACTTTCATGCATTTTCAGCACAATTTCATACACATAAATGACATAATAAACCAACAAAAAAAAAGAAAAATTAAAACTCCATACCATCTTCAAGGTTTATTTGGTGGGTGGGTTATAGGGAGACTCAGATCTGCATTTCATCGAACAATTTGGCGGCACATTCTCGAAGTGGGAAAACCTCAACCATGGCAGCAACTCAACCGAATCCCACAAACCAAATGCCCCCTAATAAGAATTAGGGAATACAATTTCGTTTGCTGCCAAGCCAAATGATCAAAACGTATCCCAAATTCGTAAAACATTCCAAAACCAAACCATCGATTACTTTGAATTGACTCATCACAGCCTCATTAATTTGTATAATTGTTTATGTGTGTGTGTGTGTGTGTGTGTGTGTGTGTATATATATATATACGTAGTACGTAGCTCTTTTTGGGGGTTGATTATGGTATATGGTGAAAAACAGAACCAGAGATCAGAGATTCAGAGTAGCCAAAAAAAAAAAAAAAAAAGAAAAGGTGAGAGAAAGAGAGCAAAATTGTGGAAACTAAGCTCTTCGATTTCTCAGAGGGCCGTTTTAATGGTGGTCGGAGAAATCACCGGCTAAAGATGACCGCCGTTGACGGAGGTTATCACAGAAGAGGGGCAAAACGGTCCTCAGCAAACTCCCATTTAAAGTTTCTTTGAATTAAAGCTAATAACTCGCATTAATAAGAAAATCCATGCTATAATTGAGTCTCTAATAAGTCCAACTTTGCCCCCACTAATTGCTTCTTTGTAATTGAAATTTGATTGCAGAACATAAAACCATAGGAAATAGCTTGGTAATTTTCATAGATTAAAATGATCATAAATATTATTGTATAAGAGGATGTCACATGCTCCTAATCTCTTTCTTTAAAATCCATTGAGATGTAAGAAAGGACTTATCTGTAATTATAAAAAATAAAAAAAAAATAAAAAGAAAGAAAGAAAGGACTTAATACAGAACCTTAGAGCTCAGTTTATTCCAAATAGACGAAAACAGAAAAGGTCTTTCAGTAAACAGTAGACCCAAGAAATCCAATTTTTCATTTTAAAAATCTCGGAACTCAACTCACAAATAAAAACCAATACAAACAACATGAAGCTTAATCGACTGATAACAAACAAAGAAATTTCGCCTAAACAAATGGCAGAAAAAATCAGCAAATTAATTTAAATTCAAAAACATATATTCAATTATTCATACCTGAATTCATAAGCACCATTAAAGTGCTTTTCAGAGCACCTCAAAAACAATCCCTCCTCCTCCGGCCCGTTGTCTATGCGATGATGTTCTGAAGAATCCAAATTCTGAAACTATAATATCAACAATTGCTTCAATTGCAACTTTAATTATCATCAACATAAAAAATCAACCCAAAAAAAATAAATCACTCAAATTCAACACAAAAAAAAAAACCCAAAAAAAAACAAATAAACCCCAAAAAATTGCAAAATTGCAACCAAAAAAACAAAAAATAAATAAAACAAAGAATCCCCAAAAAAATCGAAAACCAATCGAACAAATAAACCCAAAAAATCGAACACAAATCGATCAAATAAACCCCATTAAAAACGAAACGATTTCGCACAAAAATACACCCACAAAGATTCAACCCAAAAAAATCGAAAACAACAGGAACATAAAACTGCTTCAACCAAAAGAAATTGAAAAAATAAATTTCAAATTAAACAAAACCCTGAAAGCCCAACTAAAAAAAATTAAGAGCGACCTCAAAAGCTGCTTCATAGGAGGAGGAGAGAGAGCTAAGAAGGCACTTCAATGGAGGATTCAGATCGCACTTCAATCGAGGGGAGAGATGGAGCGTACCGTCGAAGAGGAAAAAAGCAACTCAAACGTGAAGAAAATGAAGGACAGAAAGGAGAAAAAGGACAAAACCGAGGGTAATTCCGGAAGGACACTGTCCTACTGTTCATAAAAAAAACTGAAGTAACTGTAAAATAACTCCCACTTCCTTCCCCTACAAAACCCACTCTTCCCCCCACTTCCAGCCTTTTTCCACTCTTCTCTTCATACACCCCCTCTCTCTTTTTTTTCACCTTCCATGGATAACACTCCTCCTCCTCCACCACCACCCTTGCCACTACCGCCTCCGACACCGATACCGATACCTCTTTCATTGTCTCCTCCTACTCCAACTTCCTACGTCCACAATCACAAAGATTTACTCTTACCTTTTCCTCCTCCCACCACACCGATCTCCTCCTCCCCAACCGCCTCCTTACGTAAGAAACGCCACTCTAAACTCCTCCGCATTGACACTTCCACCAGCACAACACCGGCCAACAAAAAAAACCTGAGATCACACCACCATGCACGGAGTGTGGGAAAACCTTTTGGTCCTGGAAGGCTCTTTTCGGTCATATGCGATGCCACCCCGAACGTGAGTGGCGTGGCATTAACCCTCCGCCTCATCTTCGACGTCGTTTCTCTTCCTCCCACTCCTACTACAACCACTGATGACCATGAGGTCGCTGCTAGCCTTCTCTTACTCGCTGCTGGTCCTGTCTCCCCTGACGTGGCATTAGCCTCTCCGCCCAGGTTTGAGTGCTCGAGTTGTAAGAAGACATTTGGGTCTCACCAAGCGCTCGGCGGTCACCGTGCTAGCCATAAGAATGTCAAGGGATGCTTTGCCATTACCAAGAGTGCAACTTGACGTTGAGGATGATCAATGTATGATCATGCAAAGTGGTTCAAGTCATGAGGAGGCAATTGGCTGGGCCTTTCTTTGGGCTTGGGCCTTGGAGTGGGCCACAAGTGTGGTGTTTGTTTGAAGGTGTTTCCTACTGGACAGGCCTTGGGTGGGCACATGAGGTCCCACTGGGAGAAGAGTGAGGAGCCGGCATTGCGATCGTTGTTTGGGCTTCCACTTGGGTCAGATTCAAGGCCCAATAAGGCCCAATGTGGTGTTGATCTTAAACCTACCGCCCCCAACTTCTAGAGGATGGTTCTTTCTTCTACTACTATTGATTCTTCCAATAACATGCAATTAGAGCTGAAGTTAGGAATATAAGGTATACAATTGGTTAGGTTATTTAAAATTGTTGTAATACTAATTAATTGATGATTTATCACATATTTAAGTGTTAAAGACTAACTATTTATAGTGTGTGGTGTGGGTTTCATGAAAACATATGTATGCTCATTGTTTTAGGTGTGGGTTCATGTAATATCTCATTTAACACAACGCTTCATTCATCATAATATTATTACTTACTCTTATTACTACTCGTATAATTAACCTTTCTCTGTTATAAGGTTGCTGTTTCCTATGGCGAATACTATACTATTCCCATGTCTAGAAACATATGTCACATTTTTAGCTGTAAGTGTATATCTAAACTAGTAAGGTGATGGTTAAATATAAGCGGAGATAGTATTGATTTTGATGTATTTTTTCTTAGTTACGATCATTAGTTTGGAATTCATGGATGATCAATACAATGAGCCCATGGACCTAAGGCCCATATAGCTTACCTGACCTAATCCATTTAGACTAAACACTTTTTTTTTTTTTTTGACAACATTTAGACTAAACACTTATATAGCCTATAATCCAAAAAAATGTCCTTTTTTAAGGTATTGTCTATGCAAAGTGTATTAATTAATTAATTGTAATAAAGTTAAAGTAATGCTTTGCATACCTCAGTAGGTATGTATTTGTTTAAGTTTGATTTTCTTTTTAATTATTCCTTAAAGCATGAGCAAGTGACCATTATAATTATTGCACTCCGTATAATTTATGAACTATGATATTGTGTCAAAAAAAAAAAAAAAAAAACTATTAGTTGGTGAGTTCCTAAATTTAGAAATATTATTAGTTTGAAAGTTACAGATCCAGTAATCTGGACCACTTCACCAACTCGTACTTCATTTTTTGTCATAATTTCTCATCATCAAGCTAGTAGGGAACATTTATATATAATGTTCAGGATTTTTTTTTATTTTTTTTTTAAGACTTTAATACAATCATTAGTAATATCTATATGAGGTGATTGGACTATAGAGAAACACAAGTTTAAATGGTCCCTATGGACAAAAAATTTCATATATTTACGACTAGTATATTATATTGACCTTTACGGAGTAATTAAGGCTTAACGATAGCTAGTTCGAAAAGGACATTTAACTAAACAGTTGGATCAATTTGACATGAAACCGCATGAAATTAGATGATTCTCATCGAACTTTAAGATGCTTTAACATGACTCAAGTCATTATAAACCACATCGGCCTACCAACAAAAGGAATTTTGTAGGGAAGTTTTATTCATCAATCATTGTTTCAGGCTCCTGAGTTCCACCACGAGAATGTGTTGCTAAAGGTGGTGTTGTCTCATTATCACCTGTAAGTTTGTATCGTCTAACAACTAATATGTAGTGTAATAATCTTCATTATCATTTCTTTAAATTAGTCCTCAAACTTAGAAAATGTTCAAGAGCTTGAATGAAAGACCCATATACTGTACGCAGTATTATCTAATGCAATGGTCCTTCGTTTTCATGTCCTGCTTTGCTTCCATTTTTGTCTCATTTACTTGTTTGCTTTCCCGTTTTTTGCTTCTTGGCTTAAATCTGTGTTTCAATGGAAGGAAAATCATTTTCCAAAAACGGCTTTCTTATTTTACGATTGGTTTGTAATAGAAGAAAATAAAAATAATGTCTTATATCCTCCTATTCCCTCACCTTTGTCTCCTCTCCTCACCATTTCTCTCGAACTCTTCTAGACCTACCAAAATTTAAAATAATAATGGCTCCTTTGAAATTAGATTTACGTCAAAATAATTGCTACAGTAATAGTTTAGAATATGATCAAACAAGTTCATCAACTTTACAAGTCAATTAACAAATGAAATCATGAAGAAGTCTTATTTTTTTTTAAAGAAAAAGTTTGTAGTTCAAAAAACATGTAATATTTTTATAAAAGAATGGAAAACATTTTTGAAAATTAAACATGTTACTTACTTTTTTTTTAACTAGTTGTGGTCCCGCGCGGTGATTATTATTAGTAAGTAATGTATCCGGTGGTTCTGTTACACGGTATTATGTTTGCGTAGTGTGTGCATGTCGTAAGAATTTAAAGTAATAAAGGCAATCTAAGAGGGAAATGTTGCATTCTAAGTTATTATATGAGAAATCTTTCTTAATTAAGTAGTCTATCTCTCTCTTTCCTAAGTGATATTTCTCTCTTTTTGAATGATCGATCTTTCTTAAATGGCTCTCTCTCTCTCTCTCCCACTCTCTCTATAGCTTTTAGTAACTCTTTCTCCTAAGCTAATTTCTCTTATTTTCTTAAGTGGTCCATCTCAAATGATCTATGTTTCTTAAGTAGTTTATATTAAAGTTATCAAAATCAAGATTCCACTTTGAATTGGAAGGGATTTAGATGTGTATGTGTTACTAATGATAGTAGTTGTTTCAGAAGTTTTCTTATAAGTTTTTATTTCTTACATGAGAAGGTTTTTCTTGTTTTAGGCTTAAAATATTTTAATTATGCAATTTTATTTTGACAATAATTATTTTTACGATATAGGAGAATCGAGTGAGATGATTTTTAAGTGGTTGATAATTTTATTTGGTATGTATACATGTATGGATTTTTAATATTCGCATAGTATCTTAATAGGTATTTTATATACTTTGAAAAATTAAAGTGTCATCATTATAAGAAGATTATGATTCTTAGATTGTTTGATAAATTCTATTTAATGACATGTTTACAAGCATGATAATAAATGATAATTTAATTATGAGATGATATATTTATGAAACATGATTATTATTGATTTCTCACTCATAATTATAGATTGAAACAAGTAAGTCAATTTAATACTCTTTCATAGAATGAGATGAATCAAAGAAGGATTTCAATGTAGAAGTATAATTATGCACATTTTTGTGTGTGTCATAACCATGTAATAAATTGATTAATCACGAAATAAATTATCACATATAACTATTTAAAAATATAATATTCTAACTAATAAATCACAAAAGAAATTCAAAAGAGGTGTGTGAATAGTGAAAAAGTATAAATAATGCAATTAAAATAATTGATGAAATCTATATATATAAATAAAGTAGGCATTTTTCAAGAGCATTCGGAGCGCCACATAAGCAAAGGTATATTTTCGACCAATTAATAATTAGATTTCTATTTTTTTTGGAATTAAAAAATTCATTTGCCACCTAAACAAAATTGGCGAATGAGATTTAAGAATTTTTCCACGTAAGTAAAAACAACGAATATTGATTTATTAGGATTAAATTTATTTAAAAAACTAGAAATTATCTTTTAAAATAATCATCTTTAGATATAGGATTTATATATGTACTATTATAAGATAAATTTTGATAGTGTTTATGATAAGAAATAAAAATATTCCTTGATTATAATTAAATTAAAATTTGTGACATTTAGATGAACAAATTCCAATACATAAATTTAATTTTGTATAATTACAATTTTTAGATTAATTTCACAACAATTATTGACTTTCTGGTAAA